ATGTTCTGTACAATTTATAATTATTCTATTTAATCTTGCCATTGTTAATTAAATGTTGAGAAGTATAAAGTAATCTTAAAGTCTTATTTTATTTGTATTCTCAACGTAACAGAAGTTTAAGGTTTTTTTTTAAAAATATATTTTCTTTAAAAAAAACAACTAAAAAAACTAAACAACCTAACACTGGGGAGACAACCACGTTTAATTGTGAAGTAATGCACAATTCGAGCTTGATTTATACCCTTTGTAATGTACAAAGTTGTCACTGTCCTTGTATGTGGTAGAAACAAGGCCTCAATTGTCCTGAAAATGGTCACGGGTGCAGCAGTTGTATCTATCTTACGGGCTCAAATCATTACGTCAGGGTCTATGCTATGTATCTCTCTAGGCTGAAGTGGATGCAGAATATATTTATTGTAAGTTTAAGATATGTGAAGTTTCAATTGAGAGAAACTGCTGGGTTTGAGTCGTGTAAAAATCCCTGTAACAGTGTTACAGCAGGGTGTCGTAACAAATCTTTATCAGTGTTTTTCCCCCAAGATTTCTACACAACAAACCTGAGAAAAGCGCCACCTTTCCTAATTTGAAATGCGGTGTGGGGTAGGGTAGCGTTTTTGTACCATCACTGAACATTAACGGTATTTATTTTGCCGCTACACAATCGATGTAGAAAATAAAATCTAATGTAAACCCATGTTAATGTCTATTTCCCAACTGTGGCCATGTATGTGTCTATTTCCCAACTGTGGCCATGTAAGTGTCTCCCAACTCTGGCCATATATGTGTCTATTTCCCAACTGTGGCCATGTATGTGTCTATTTCCCAACTGTGGCCATGTATGTGTCTATTTCCCAACTGTGGCCATGTATGTGTCTATTTCCCAACTGTGGCCATATATGTGTCTATTTCCCAACCGTGGCCATGTATGTGTCTATTTCCCAACTGTGGCCATGTATGTGTCTATTTCCCAACTGTGGCCATGTATGTGTCTATTTCCCAACTGTGGCCATGTATGTGTCTATTTCCCAACTGTGGCCATGTATATGTCTATTTCCCAACTGTGGCCATGTATGTGTCTATTTCCCAACTGTGGCCATGTATGTGTCTATTTCCCAACTGTGGCCTGGTTATTGGATGGATGATTTAAGGACCTTGTTATTGAATGGATGTATTAAAGGACCTGGTTATTGAATGGATGTATTAAAGGACCTGGTTATTGAATGGATGTATGAAAGGACCTGGTTATTGAATGTATGTATTAAAGGACCTGGTTATTGAATGGATGTATTAAAGGACCTGGTTATTGAATGGATGTATTAAAGGACCTGGTTATTGAATGGATGTATTAAAGGACCTGGTTATTGAATGGATGTATTAAAGGACCTGGTTATTGAATGGATGTATTAAAGGACCTGGTTATTGAATGGATGTATTAAAGGGCCTGGTTATTGAATGGATGTATGACAGGACCTGGTTTTTGAATGGATGTATGAAAGGACCTGGTTATTCTCCGACTGACTCCGACACTACGTATTCTCCGACTGACTCAGACACTACGTATTCTCCGACTGACTCAGACACTACGTATTCTCCGACTGACTCCGACACTACGTATTCTCCGACTGACTCAGACACTACGTATTCTCCGACTGACTCCGGCATTACGATTTCTCCGACTGACTCCGACACTACGTATTCTCCGACTGACTCCGGCACTACGTATTCTCCGACTGACTCCGGCACTACGTATTCTACGACTGACTCCGACAACACCTATTCCCGATGCTGCCTCTGCTACAGAGGAGAAATATTGTCTGAGAAAAAATGTTCAAAATGTCAGTTGCTGATTCACCTGCAAGCTTACACTGCGATTGTATGACATTTTTTTTTTGTGTCAGCCATCACAGAATGACGTTTCGCTAATACGAATTGAAATATTTATGAAATTCGTATTCATAAAATTAAAATCCAACTTGCAGTTTTGTCAAAGAAATCTGAAAATATTGGCAGGGAAGTATAAAATAAAAGCCAAGTGTTCATTTAAAGTAGAAATAAAACAATTGACGAAACAAAACATTTTATTCTTAAAATAAGCTTTGTCATATTTTTCTTCATTTTACAAGTGAGGCAGTCAAATTAATTTTTCTTTCAACATGAGTTTGTGGTTTGATTTATTTACATTTCAACTTAAAAAGGGAGAAAACAAAGTAATCCACAAATGGAAAAACAATGCTTTACAAAAATAGTAAACGAATAGAAGATTACCCCCACCACAAAAAGTAGATGCCAGTTTTCATTGACAATATTTGTTTGCCAAAAGAGAGAACACAACTGATAGAAAGTATTCACAACGACATGCAGACAAGAAATCAACATTGGTGAAACATTGTGGATTTTTAAAATCTCATGTTCATTGATTTTAAATGAATGTGCTGAATGGTTTCTTAAAATAGTTTTTCCTTGTTTAACATATGGGGCCTGCTATTGTTCTATTTACATAGAAAAATATTTATTGAGTTTTTGTCTTTCAAGTTATTGAAACTAAATTTTGAAAATTAGTGAACTACTGATGTTAAATATGAAGATGGAGATTACTTAAAATTATTTCTATGTATTTCGTTTTAATTTGTTTTCAAGGAGGTACAGGAAATTTTTGTTTTGATTGACACATTAGCCACCACCTTCTGTTTGGATCGTTCGAAAGTTTTTTTAATAACAATTTCGTGGTGTGGGGTATACGATTAGAAAAAAAAAAAAAATTGTCTCGTAACTGATGCAAATATTTTCACTGAAAGTTGATTTTACACCGACACCAACTGAAATCTCTAAGGCTGTCTGTAGCTAAGTGTCATCAAGCTGTTGTCAACTATCCCAATCAATGTACAATAAATGTCATCAAGCTAATGTCAACTATCCCAATCACTGTACAATAAATGTCGTCAACTATCCCAATCATTGTACAATAAATGTCATCAAGCTAATGTCAACTATCCCAATCACTGTACAATAAATGTCGTCAACTATCCCAATCATTGTACAATAAATGTCAGCAAGCTAATGTCAACTATACCAATCACTGTACAATAAATGTCACCAAGCTAATGTCAACTATCCCAATCACTGTAAATAAATGTCATCAACCTAATGTCAACTATCCCAATCACTGTACAATAAATGTCATCAAGCTGATGTCAACTATCCCAATCACTGTACAATAAATGTCATCAAGCTAATGTCAACTATCCCAATCACTGTACAATAAATGTCGTCAACTATCCCAATCATTGTACAATAAATGTCATCAAGCTAATGTCAACTATCCCAATCACTGTACAATAAATGTCGTCAACTATCCCAATCATTGTACAATAAATGTCATCAAGCTAATGTCAACTATCCCAATCACTGTACAATAAATGTCACCAAGCTAATGTCAACTATCCCAATCACTGTACAATAAATGTCATCAAGCTGATGTCAACTATCCCAATCACTGTAAAGTAAATGTCATCAACCTAATGTCAACTGCCCCTCTGTATTAAGTGACTAAGCCAATTTCTCAAGCTGATGTAAGGTTTTGAAAACATCCGTCAAATATTTTTTTTGAAATTACTAGACAAGCTCTAGATTTGGTATGGTTGTTTAGCCTTATCTGTGAATGGTTGTCTAGCCTTATCTGTGAATGGTTGTCTAGCCTTATCTGTGAATGGTTGTCTAACCTTATCTGTGAATGGTTGTCTAGCCTTATCTGTGAATGGTTGTCTAGCCTTATCTGTGAATGGTTGTCTAGCCTTATCTGTGAATGGTTGTCTAACCTTATCTGTGAATGGTTGCCTAGCCTTATCTGTGAATGGTTGCCTAGCCTTATCTGTGAATGGTTGTCTAGCCTTATCTGTGAATGGTTGTCTAACCTTATCTGTGAATGGTTGTCTAGCCTTATCTGTGAATGGTTGTCTAGCCTTATCTGTGAATGGTTGCCTAGCCTTATCTGTGAATGGTTGTCTAACCTTATCTGTGAATGGTTGTCTAGCCTTATCTGTGAATGGTTGCCTAGCCTTATCTGTGAATGGTTGCCTAGCCTTATCTGTGAATGGTTGTCTAGCCTTATCTGTGAATGGTTGTCTAGCCTTATCTGTGAATGGTTGTCTAACCTTATCTGTGATAATCTCATTATCATGTTGACACAAATTGACTGAGAATGACAACCAACCCGCTGTTGACAAAATGGCAGAAAGAAAGTACAACACAACACTAACAAACAAGCAGCAGAATTTGAGGGAACACCTTTTACATTTTTTTCTTACTGTTCATTAGACATTCTGTTAGGAAGCAGCGATGCAAATGGTAAAATGTTAGAACTAAAAGCCAAACACAATATAATAAACTATCATTTAGTTGTGACATTTCTTTTGAAATTCATGACATAAAAACACAGTTATTATTGTGTAACTGTCTATCCATTTTGTCAAATTCAACAGAGTTTAACATTATAAACGTGTAGGTAATTAGCTGACAGATTGAGTGTTAACTTAGATTAACTTTTATCTCAAGTAACAAATGCAGCGCACTAATGGAGGCTGAAGAGTTGAGGGGGGGGGGGGGGGGAATGTATAAACACTCTTATCCAAATAGCATGGTCAGAAAGTACTCGATAAATGATATCATGGCCAGAAAGTACACGATAAAATGTTGGTATTTCCAGTCAATTTGACCACTACATGTTTTTGTGCTGGAGTTAATCAGTGTCAGCTATTAACAATTCAGATGTTTTATGTACATGTAGATTCTACTCAAATTGATATTTTTTAGCTCTTTTTGGAGTCAGTTACAAAAATCTTAAGTACACATTGTTTTTTTAAAAAAAAAGCATGTTGTACTAGATTCTATGTAGCAATATAAAAGTACAAACAAGGGTGGTGGTACGATAGACAAGAAATTTAAATTTACAGTTTCCTGGATATTATTTCTTTTTTGTCTTGGTTTTTACTAGCTAGATCTAGATCTAGATCTAGACAATGTAACCAAAACAAAATTCATTAAAAAATTAAAATTTCTCAATAAATATTTGTCCATTTTCTTTTTTTTTTTAAATTTAGACCATTTCATAAAATAAATAATAAATAACTTTAAAATAACAAGCTTTTTTATTGATAGCTGTCGATAGAATGTGCTTGAATTTCTCAAAATCCATTTTTTTTTATGTTACATTTTGAATATTAAACCACCTTTAGGTTGAAACATCAAAATAAATGCTGACATGTTTTGGTAACATTTTGAAAAAACTTCAGTTTTTAAAAATTATTTTTTTTATATTGATTAATAGAAATTCAAAAATAGATTTGAGCATTGAACTCTTTTAAAAATTCTGACACAGAAGTTTTTTGCCAAGTAGGTTTGACAATTGTTTCTAGATTTTTAAATTTAATGTGTGAATTTTTCAAGTTTCCTAAAAAAATATTTCAACTTTTTCCGTTCATTTAAATTTATTTCTTGATAAGTCTTCATGACGTGTGGAAGTTATAGTTTCTGTGATTCTGCAAGTAGAAAAGTTAGACAATATTATGACCATGGTTATTACTTATAACTGTTATTACACATTTCATTTTTAAAAGCATACATTAGGAAGTTTATAAGTATATGAATCTTAGATCATACAAAGTATGACAGTAAATCTAACATGTGATGTTTTATGTTGAAATAAGTAAACAAGCAGCCCTTGACATAAAAAACTTTTATTTAAAAAAAAAAATCGCTCTTACTTGACTTAGCATCTTGAAGTTTCTCTGTCTGTTTGACATCATTCTTGACTTCCTGCACCAGCTTGGATGTTGCCAGTTTCTTGAGTTCCTCTTCCTTCTCCAGGCTTTTTACAGCTTCTACTTTTTCTTTCAAGAGCTGTTTTTGGGCTGGTTTCAAAACTTTGTCTTCATCAGTAGGTAACACAGCAGCTTTATCATTCAATGTATCAGCGACTGTTTGAACTAGAAATTACAATTCATCAGATTGACCTTTAAATATGTATATATATATATATATATATATATAACGCTATGTAAGAAAATGCCCAACACTGACAGCTACACAAACAACCTGAATGAGAAACTTCTTGTACCTAAAATGTCCCTGATTTGGCCAATGTCATCTGGATTATTGTCCTGGCTAACGCGTTCATAAAGCATTCGAACTATTTCTTGTGCCTCTTCGTTTCCTTGAAATTAAAAAAAAAATTATTAGAACATCAAGGTGTATGGGTCTCAACATTTCTATAACCTTGATTCAAATTAATTTAAAATTAATTTAAAAATTAATTAACAAATTAATTTAAAAATTAATTTAAAAATCAATTTAAAAATTTATTTTAAAATTATTTTATGTATTTTAAAATGGGTTTGATGAAGACCTATATATCATTTATCTTGATTAAACACAGAAGCATTTGCTGGTTTCCTGATACCACTATTTCAAAGCTTAGAAGAAAAATATTTGTTACAGGTAACGTGGAAGGGGACATTTCTGTAAAATAATGTGCCTGTGTTAAATGTTTCAACCCGTGTCAATGTTTTGTCTGTTTTAAAATCACAGTTCATCTGGTTCATTTGGCATGTATTGTTTGGAATAGTTAGCCAGAGTATATAGAAAGTGAATACATAATATGTCTGAAGTCTGGATTCTATTTTCATAAAAGGTGTCACATTTTGCATGCATGTATTCCATATCTCAGGAGAGAGAGCACATATTTGAACTCAGGAGAGGGCACATATTTGAACTCAGGAGAGGGCAGATATTTGAACTCAGGAGAGGGCAGATATTTGAACTCAGGAGAGGGCAGATATTTGAACTCAGGAGAGGGCAGATATTTAAACTCAGGAGAGGGCAGATATTTAAACTCAGGAGAGGGCAGATATTTAAACTCAGGAGAGGGCTGATATTTAAACTCAGTAGAGGGCAGATATTTGAACTCAGGAGAGGGCAGATATTTAAACTCAGTTGAGGGCAGATATTTGAACTCAGGAGAGGGCAGATATTTGAACTCAGGAGAGAGCACATATTTGAACTCAGGAGAGGGCAGATATTTAAACTCAGGAGAGGGCAGATATTTGAACTCAGGAGAGGGCAGATATTTGAACTCAGGAGAGGGCAGATATTTGAACTCAGGAGAGGGCAGATATTTGAACTCAGGAGAGGGCAGATATTTGAACTCAGGAGAGGGCAGATATTTGAACTCAGTAGAGGGCAGATATTTGAATGCAGGAGAGGGCAGATATTTGAACTCAGGAGAGGGCAGATATTTAAACTCAGGAGAGGGCAGATATTTGAACTCAGGAGAGGGCAGATATTTGAACTCAGGAGAGGGCAGATATTTGAACTCAGGAGAGGGCAGATATTTGAACTCAGGAGAGGGCAGATATTTGAACTCAGGAGAGGGCAGATATTTAAACTCAGGAGAGGGCAGATATTTGAACTCAGGAGAGGGCAGATATTTGAACTCAGGAGAGGGCAGATATTTAAACTCAGTAGAGGGCAGATATTTGAATGCAGGAGAGGGCAGATATTTAAACTCAGGAGAGGGCAGATATTTGAACTCAGGAGAGGGCAGATATTTGAACTCAGGAGAGGGCAGATGTTTGAACTCAGGACAGAGGGTAGATATTTGAACTCAGGAGAGGGCAGATATTTGAACTCAGGAGAGGGCAGATATTTGAACTCAGGAGAGGGCAGATATTTGAACTCAGGAGAGGGCAGATATTTGAACTCAGGAGAGGGCAGATATTTGAACTCAGGAGAGGGCAGATATTTGAACTCAGGAGAGGGCAGATATTTGAACTCAGGAGAGGGCAGATATTTGAACTCAGGAGAGGGCAGATATTTGAACTCAGGAGAGGGCAGATATTTGAACTCAGGAGAGGGCAGATATTTAAACTCAGGAGAGGGCAGATATTTGAACTCAGTAGAGGGCAGATATTTAAACTCAGGAGAGGGCAGATATTTAAACTCAGGAGAGGGCAGATATTTAAACTCAGGAGAGGGCAGATATTTAAACTCAGTAGAGGGCAGATATTTGAACTCAGGAGAGGGCAGATATTTAAACTCAGGAGAGGGCAGATATTTGAACTCAGGAGAGGGCAGATATTTGAACTCAGGAGAGGGCAGATATTTGAACTCAGGAGAGGGCAGATATTTAAACTCAGGAGAGGGCAGATATTTGAACTCAGGAGAGGGCAGATATTTAAACTCAGGAGAGGGCAGATATTTGAACTCAGGAGAGGGCAGATATTTGAACTCAGGAGAGGGCAGATATTTGAACTCAGGAGAGGGCAGATATTTGAACTCAGGAGAGGGCAGATATTTGAACTCAGGAGAGGGCAGATATTTGAACTCAGGAGAGGGCAGATATTTGAACTCAGGAGAGGGCAGATATTTGAACTCAGGAGAGGGCAGATATTTGAACTCAGGAGAGGGCAGATATTTGAACTCAGGAGAGGGCAGATATTTGAACTCAGGAGAGGGCAGATATTTGAACTCAGGAGAGGGCAGATATTTGAACTCAGGAGAGGGCAGATATTTGAACTCAGGAGAGGGCAGATATTTGAACTCAGGAGAGGGCAGATATTTGAACTCAGGAGAGGGCAGATATTTAAACTCACCTTTCCCATAAGCCTCGTTCCACAGAGCTGTCAAAAATTCATTGAGGTTGATCTCGTTGCCAAGATTAGCAATTTCCTGCTGCTGCATCAGATACTGCTCAGCCGGGCTCACATCTAGTGATGCAAAGGTCATAGAGAAATTGTCAGGCTTTAGTGGAGCTCACATCTAGTGATGCAAAGGTCATAGAAATATTGTCAGGCTTTAGTGGAGCTCACATCTGGTGATGCAAAGGTCATAGAGATATTGTCAGGCTTTAATGGAGCTCACATCTAGTGATGCAAAGGTCATAGAGATATTGTCAGGCTTTAATGGAGCTCACATCTATTGATGCAAAGGTCATAGAGATATTGTCAGGCTTTAATGGAGCTCACATCTATTGATGCAAAGGTCATAGAGATATTGTCAGGCTTTAATGGAGCTCACATCTAGTGATGCAAAGGTCATAGAGATATTGTCAGGCTTTAATGGAGCTCACATCTATTGATGCAAAGGTCATAGAGATATTGTCAGGCTTTAATGGAGCTCACATCTATTGATGCAAAGGTCATAGAGATATTGTCAGGCTTTAATGGAGCTCACATCTATTGATGCGAAGGTCATAGAGAAATTGTCAGGCTTTAATGGAGCTCACATCTAGTGATGCAAAAGTCATAGAGAAATTGTCAGGCTTTAATGGTGCTCACATCTAGTGATGCAAAGGTCATAGAGATATTGTCAGGCTTTAATGGAGCTCACATCTATTGATGCAAAGGTCATAGAGATATTGTCAGGCTTTAATGGAGCTCACATCTATTGATGCAAAGGTCAAAGAGATATTGTCAGGCTTTAATGGAGCTCACATCTATTGATGCAAAGGTCATAGAGATATTGTCAGGCTTTAATGGAGCTCACATCTATTGATGCAAAGGTCATAGAGATATTGTCAGGCTTTAATGGAGCTCACATCTAGTGATGCAAAGGTCATAGAGATATTGTCAGGCTTTAATGGAGCTCACATCTATTGATGCAAAGGTCATAGAGATATTGTCAGGCTTTAATGGAGCTCACATCTATTGATGCAAAGGTCATAGAGATATTGTCAGGCTTTAATGGAGCTCACATCTAGTGATGCAAAGGTCATAGAGAAATTGTCAGGCTTTAATGGAGCTCACATCTAGTGATGCAAAAGTCATAGAGAAATTGTCAGGCTTTAATGGAGCTCACATCTAGTGATGCAAAGGTCATAGAGAAATTGTCAGGCTTTAATGGAGCTCACATCTAGTGATGCAAAAGTCATAGAGAAATTGTCAGGCTTTAATGGAGCTCACATCTAGTGATGCAAAGGTCATATATATATTGTCAGGCTTTAATGGAGCTCACATCTAGTGATGCAAAAGTCATAGAGATATTGTCAGGCTTTAATGGAGCTCACATCTAGTGATGCAAAGGTCATAGAGAAATTGTCAGGCTTTAATGGAGCTCACATCTAGTGATGCAAAAGTCATAGAGAAATTGTCAGGCTTTAATGGAGCTCACATCTAGTGATGCAAAGGTCATATATATATTGTCAGGCTTTAATGGAGCTCACATCTAGTGATGCAAAAGTCATAGAGATATTGTCAGGCTTTAATGGAGCTCACATCTAGTGATGCAAAGGTCATAGAAATATTGTCAGGCTTTAATGGAGCTCACATCTAGTGATGCAAAGGTCATAGAAATATTGTCAGGCTTTAATGGAGCTCACATCTAGTGATGCAAAGGTCATAGAAATATTGTCAGGCTTTAATGGAGCTCACATCTAGTGATGCAAAGGGCATAGAGATATTGTCAGGCTTTAATGGAGCTCACATCTAGTGATGCAAAGGTCTTAGAAATATTGTCAGGCTTTAATGGAGCTCACATCTAGTGATGCAAAGGGCATAGAGATATTGTCAGGCTTTAATGGAGCTCACATCTAGTGATGCAAAGGTCATAGAGAAATTGTCAGGCTTTAATGGAGCGTACATCTAGTGATGCAAAAGTCATAGAGATATTGTCAGGCTTTAATGGAGCTCATATCTAGTAATACCAAGGTCATAGAGATATTGTCAGGCTTTAATGGAGCTCACATCTAGTGATGCAAAGGTCATAGAGATATTGTGAGTCTTTAAAATTATGATAAAATGTCAGGCTTTAAAATGATAAGAAAATGTCACAGATGATAAAGACTTGACAGACTTACCATAAGGATAACCAGCCAACTCATTCATTGCAATAAGCTCTTCGTTAGCCATATTTGGGCTGCTCAGTAGGTCAAGGTTAGAGTTGGGGATGTACACGTCCTCAGGTAGAGCGTACTGAAAAATGTTAAGTACCCATTAAAGCTGGGTGAACTCAGAATCTTCTACCGGTTTTGGTCCGGAAACTGAACTAAGACAGGTGATGTAGAGCGCATCAAATTATAATTAAACCGCCCAACAAACAATTTGTCAACTGTACCTTAGGGTACATTCTCTTCTCAGCGAAAACTTTCTCTTCAAAATCTGCAAGCTGCAGCCTCTCGTATTCAACAGCGACAGTTTTGGCGTAGATCTCAGCATCTTCTGGTGACATCTGCAGAAACCATACATTCAGTTGTTAAACTCACACTGGCACAATAACAGATTCAGCTGTAGAGTTAGACCCACCAAACTATAGCACACTGACACAATAACAGATAGATTCAGCTGTAGAGCTAGACCCACCAAACTATAGCACACTGGCACAATAACAGATAGATTCAGCTGTAGAGTTAGACCCACCAAACTATAGCACACTGACACAATAACAGATAGATTCAGCTGTAGAGTTAGACCCACCAAACTATAGCACACTGGCACAATAACAGATAGATTCAGCTGTAGAGCTAGACCCACCAAACTATAGCACACTGACACAATAACAGATAGATTCAGCTGTAGAGTTAGACCCACCAAACTATAGCACACTGACACAATAACAGATAGATTCAGCTGTAGAGCTAGACCCACCAAACTATAGCACACTGACACAATAACAGATAGATTCAGCTGTAGAGTTAGACCCACCAAACTATAGCACACTGACACAATAACAGATAGATTTAGCTGTAGAGTTAGACCCACCAAACTATAGCACACTGACACAATAACAGATAGATTCAGCTGTAGAGTTAGACCCACCAAACTATAGCACACTGACACAATAACAGATAGATTCAGCTGTAGAGTTAGACCCACCAAACTATAGCACACTGACACAATAACAGATAGATTCAGCTGTAGAGTTAGACCCACCAAACTATAGCACACTGACACAATAACAGATAGATTCAGCTGTAGAGTTAGACCCACCAAACTATAGCACACTGGCACAATAACAGATAGATTCAGCTGTAGAGTTAGACCCACCAAACTATAGCACACTGGCACAATAACAGATAGATTCAGCTGTAGAGTTAGACCCACCAAACTATAGCACACTGGCACAATAACAGATAGATTCAGCTGTAGAGTTAGACCCACCAAACTATAGCACACTGACACAATAACAGATAGATTCAGCTGTAGAATTAGACCCACCAAACTATAGCACACTGACACAATAACAGATAGATTCAGCTGTAGAGTTAGACCCACCAAACTATAGCACACTGACACAATAACAGATAGATTCAGCTGTAGAGCTAGACCCACCAAACTATAGCACACTGGCACAATAACAGATAGATTCAGCTGTAGAGTTAGACCCACCAAACTATAGCACACTGACACAATAACAGATAGATTCAGCTGTAGAGTTAGACCCACCAAACTATAGCACACTGGCACAATAACAGATAGATTCAGCTGTAGAGCTAGACCCACCAAACTATAGCACACTGACACAATAACAGATAGATTCAGCTGTAGAGTTAGACCCACCAAACTATAGCACACTGACACAATAACAGATAGATTCAGCTGTAGAGTTAGACCCACCAAACTATAGCACACTGACACAATAACAGATAGATTCAGCTGTAGAGTTAGACCCACCAAACTATAGCACACTGACACAATAACAGATAGATTTAGCTGTAGAGTTAGACCCACCAAACTATAGCACACTGACACAATAACAGATAGATTCAGCTGTAGAGTTAGACCCACCAAACTATAGCACACTGACACAATAACAGATAGATTCAGCTGTAGAGTTAGACCCACCAAACTATAGCACACTGACACAATAACAGATAGATTCAGCTGTAGAGTTAGACCCACCAAACTATAGCACACTGACACAATAACAGATAGATTCAGCTGTAGAGTTAGACCCACCAAACTATAGCACACTGGCACAATAACAGATAGATTCAGCTGTAGAGTTAGACCCACCAAACTATAGCACACTGACACAATAACAGATAGATTCAGCTGTAGAGCTAGACCCACCAAACTATAGCACACTGGCACAATAACAGTTTCAGCTGTAGAGTTAGACCCACCAAACTATAGCACACTGACACAATAACAGATAGATTCAGCTGTAGAGCTAGACCCACCAAACTATAGCACACTGACACAATAACAGATAGATTCAGCTGTAGAGCTAGACCCACCAAACTATAGCACACTGGCACAATAACAGATAGATTCAGCTGTAAAGTTAGACCCACCAAACTATACAATATCTCAAACTATATCGTCCCATTGGAGCAGTAGGATGAACTAGTTAAACACCAGCATTTGATACCTTGGATTGGTTGACCAGCCTGTCCAGTGCCGAGTAGAAGGCCTCGAACTGTTGGGTTGTGTACAGGTACTCGGCCATGTCTGCAGGTGTCAGCTCAGGTTCTGGTGCCTGCACGCCATCACTGCCAGCTTCCTGTGGGTACAATGGTAAACTCAGCGTAAGCATAGGTCTATAATGTTGGGTTAAACTCAGTGTAAACATAGGTCTATAATGTTGGGTTAAACTCAGTGTAAACATAGGTCTATAATGTTGGGTTAACATAAGCATAGGTCTATAATGTTGGGTTAAACTCAGTGTAAACATAGGTCTATAATGTTGGGTTAAACTCAGTGTAAACATAGGTCTATAATGTTGGGTTAACATAAGCATAGGTCTATAATGTTGGGTTAAACTCAGTGTAAACATAGGTCTATAATGTTGGGTTAAACTCAACATAAGCATAGGTCTATATTGTTGGGTTAAACTCAGCGTAAACATAGGTCTATAATGTTGGGTTAACATAAGCATAGGTCTATAATGTTGGGTTAACATAAGCATAGGTCTATAATATTGGGTTAACATAAGCATAGGTCTATAATGTTGGGTTAACATAAGCATCAATCAATTATAGTATAATGTTGGGTTAACATAAACATAGATCTATAACGTTGGGTGAACATAAACATAGGTCTTTAACGTTGGGTTAACATAAGCATAGGTCTATAATGTTGGGTTAACATAAGCATAGGTCTATAATGTTGGGTTAACATAAGCATAGGTCTATAATGTTGGGTTAACATAAGCATCAGTCAATGTTGTGTTTATCGGAGCACCAAGCTAAACTGTTATGTTCAACTTTGAAATGGACTATTTTCAGTGGGTGGATGGGAGGGGGGGGTGGGGGGCCATCTGGTCATAACAACTCACATCTCCTTATGACTTAATTGTCTGTCTAATGATGTGTTGAACTTATACGATGGTTCTTATACATCAAAACATCAGGTGATGATGTTTAACGGAAATTTACGCCAACATCCATTGTTGTGAGACGTATATAAAATCAATACGAAGGAAAGCTAGTATCGATTTTAAACCAGATTTGTCAGGCATATCTTCACCAAGTTAGCCAGACAGCAATCTCCTAATTCTGGCTTTAATGGCAGCACAGAAGGGCATGAGACCAAGGATAAACCTGAACTTAATTATTGAGTTATAACTTTTTCTCCGCTTTTTGTGTCCGAAGTTTCCAGATCTCTTGAAATCAAACAAATAAGGGGTTATGCATAAATAACGTCACGTTTTTTTTGACGATCTTTATCTCCCCCCTCCGATCCGTCACACATCGTCACAAAACGCCAGACCCCCCCCCCTAAAATGACGTCACACCTCAGCCTACAACCCCTCCCCCTCAAAACTGCAGTTGAATTTTTTTTAAACATCGATATTTTTCCTAAATCTTGTCTGAACTCTGTCAAAATAGAGTCTTTTAATCAATTCCTATTACAATATATTTAAACAGTTTTCTAAAACGCGAAATAACGTCTAAAATCCGTTTTCTAAAATTGCTTTTTTATAATGCAAAAGTGTGACGTTGCACCCGCTGAACCCCCCTCCCCCTCATCACACACCGTCACAAAATTACGGACCCCCCTCCTCCTACAAGTGTGACGTCATTTATGGACGACCCCTAATCTAAGCACAGGACTTAGTCAAACCTGCTTTTTTTCGAGCGAGAATTAACCCTTACATCTTTAACTATCCCTTTAACATTTGACGAGAATTAACCCCTACATCTTTAACATTTGACAAGAATTAACCCCTACATCTTTAACATTTGACGAGAATTAACCCCTACATCTTTAACATTTGACGAGAATTAACCCCTACATCTTTAACATTTGACGAGAATTAACCCCTACATCTTTAACATTTGACAATCAGTAAAAGTAAGCTAGGACAAAGTTCAAGAAAACTACAAATTGAAACGACTTAATTCTAGAATATTTGGACCTCTACAAACTAGACTATTCGGCAAGCCTCAAAACTAGTCTTTGAAACTACGCTAAAGTCAGTCCTTAAAAAATCTGCAAATAAGACCTTTAGACAATTCTACCTCGTAGACCACTAGACCGCTGTACAAACGAGACTAGACAAGCCTTCAAGTTAGACATGATGTAAACCTTCGATCCAGTAATAATCCATCATGTACAGCATAAAATTACATAACCCAACCCCACACACCAGAGGAAAAATCCCCTCCTCGTAGAAAACAATTGACCCACCCCTTGTATTGCAGAAACAATTTCTTTCCCTTCTCACAGAATGCCCCCCCCCCCCCCTATCCACCAGGTGTACTGTAGAAGCTCTCCCACCCACAATCTCCCACCCTCGTCACACCCCCCCTCCCCTACCAGAAAGAGGCTCCCAGTTCCTGACCAATCGATGCAACTGAAAATAGCAAAATGTGGGCGGGAAGTTGGCGGCACAGATTTGATCAACTAGCTCTTCACACGATACTGCTCTACACATCTCAAAAGAGGGCCATTCAATTATGTATGCGGCCCAATAAATATGTGTGTAATAAAACCCATTCGATGATAACATATGCAAAGATACATTTTCCCCACAAGATTACAAGTAGGTCACTACAATAAACCAATCAAATCATGATTGAAATATTCATGAAAAATGCCATAAAATGATGTCCTCTTGGTACCGTCTAGTCGCCCCGTGTGAACACCGCCTGAAGGTGCGTGGGAGGCGGCTGGCAAAACTGAGCTACAACATTTTTATACGTCCAATCGATCAGGTTATTTTAGGATTTCTAGTCTTTAAAAATCTCTGAGATTTCTAGCACATTTTACTCTTATTCGGCGGTTTTAGATTCCATGCCAAGAGCTAAGCATATTATTACTGGGCCCTCCAAGCAATACTTTTATTTTAGAAAAGTTAAATAATTAAAATAACGTCTTCTGCCTTTCATCACATGTCAGGTTCTTTTTTATTCTATTAAACACGCTCGATCAGTGCATTCACGCACAACTACATTGCTACCATTTATTATTAAAACACAACAACAAAACTGTCAAAATGTATAAAATTTTTTTGCCCTATACTAACTAGAGCACCAGCTTAAAATAGATTATGTGAGCATATTTATGACGACACACTTGCTATGCTCTTCACGTCAAAGAATGTATTAGCTTGAACTTGGGCCAAGTTATCTCCCCTGGGAAAGTAATGACGCGATATGACGTCACTGCATCAAGCTCCAAGCCCATTCATCACAAGTCTGATTAATTTGATCGTGTTCTGTTTACAGAAAGTAGGATTCAGCCAATCGATGATAAGCAAGTGCTTGTCAAATGGATACAGTTCGCGCCTGGTGCCATTTCCGCAGTAAAAGACACACGGGAAGTTAGAGTTGAATGTAGGAAATGAAAGAATCTTTTTCTAGTACCCATCTAAGGCTTTAGTATTTGCTATTTTATGGAGCTCTTGACACAGTCTGTTGAAATCTATCAGACAATGCAGTTGGGAAAAACACATTTTTTCAAATCAGAAAATAACTTTTTTTAGTTCAGCCGATACAATGGTCAGATGTTTGATGAAATAATGTATCGGCAGCTGACACCATATTCTGTAGTCGATGAAACTTTTCTCTTGTAAATATATTTCTCATAATTCGACAAATTTAATAAAACTCTGCTATATCACGGTGAAGAATTTCATTGATTCCTTGATCTATTTTGATAGCTTTGTTACACCGTTACATACAACAATTGGGACGTTATATACAACAATTGGAACGTTACATACAACAATTGGGACGTTACATACAACAATTGGGACGTTATATACAACAATTGGGACGTTACATACACAATTGGGACGTTATATACAACAATTGGGACGTTACATACAACAATTGGTACGTTATATACAACAATTGGGACGTTACATACAACAATTGGGACGTTATATACAACAATTGGGACGACGTTCTCGAATAGTAGATCGTTTAAATGCTGGCCCGAAGGTTCGGACTTGCAGGACGTCCTAGCTCTGATGGGTACCCAACTTACTTTGGGGAACGTAAGGACGCCCTAGCTCTGATGGGTACCCAACTTACTTTGGGGAACGTAAGGACGCCCTAGCTCTGATGGGTACCCAACTTACTTTGGGGAACGTAAGGACGCCCTAGCTCTGATGGGTACCCAACTTACTTTGGGGAACGTAAGGACGCCCTAGCTCTGATGGGTACCCAACTTACTTTGGGGAACGTAAGGACGCCCTAGCTCTGATGGGTACCCAACTTACTTTGGGGAACGTAAGGACGCCCTAGCTCTGATGGGTACCCAACTTACTTTGGGGAACGTAAGGACGCCCTAGCTCTGATGGGTACCCAACTTACTTTGGGGAACGTAAGGACGCCCTAGCTCTGATGGGTACCCAACTTACTTTGGGGAACGTAAGGACGTCCTAGCTATGATGGGTACCCAACTTACTTTGGGGAACGTAAGGACGCCCTAGCTCTGATGGGTACCCAACTTACTTTGGGGAACGTAAGGACGTCCTAGCTATGATGGGTACCCAACTTACTTTGGGGAACGTAAGGACGTACTAGCTCTGATGGGTACCCAACTTACTTTGGGGAACGTAAGGACGTCCTAACTCTGATGGGTACCCAACTTACTTTGGGGAACGTAAGGACGTACTAGCTATGATGGGTACCCAACTTACTTTGGGGAACGTAAGGACGTCCTAACTCTGATGGGCACCCAACTTACTTTGGGGAACGTAAGGATGGCTTGGCAAAGTGCTGACCACATCATCCCTTCATGTACCGAGGTCAAGAAACATAATAGTTCTACTTCATCTGCCGTTTTGCTTTGTTTGTCTAATGTAGAGTTTTAGACGGGAACAAAGAGTAACTTAATTAAATGCTCTGGTAGCCCGTTATGGTGAGGTGGCCCTCCAACAGTCAGATCTGGAGAAGCCTCCCCATTAGCCCCCCCCCCCCATCCTCACACAACCGCCGCTATCGACTAAATTTAATACACCATTTACAAGGAAAAGAAAGGAATGACTACAACATGTAAAAGAAAGGAATGACTACAACATGCACAAGAAAGGAATGACTACAACATGCACAAGAAAGGAATGACTACAACATGCACAAGAAAGGAATGACTACAACATGCACAAGAAAGGAATGACTACAACATGCACAAGAAAGGAATGACTACAACATGCACAAGAAAGGAATGACTACAACATGCACAAGAAAGGAATGACTACAACATGCACAAGAAAGGAATGACTACAACATGCACAAGAAAGGAATGACTACAACATGCACAAGAAATGAATGACTACAACATGCACAAGAAAGGAATGACTACAACATGCACAAGAAAGGAATGACTACAACATGCACAAGAAAGGAATGACTACAACATGCACAAGAAATGCCCTACCTCGACGAAGGTCTTGTGGATCCCCTCTGAAGGAATGTCCACTTTAGTTTTTACTATCGTCTCGGGCTTGGCGCTTCCGGAACTTTCTTCTTTTACGGTCTGTTTGACGTCAGCAATAACGTTTCCTGTCTTTGCATCTACCACTGTAAGAAGATAAACAGAAAACTACACAATGTACACACACTTGGTGAGACATGTTCGGGCAACATGCACAAACATGTTCCAGGGACTTGTCCAAACAACATGTTCCAGCAATATGCCAAAACAACGGCGGCGATCCTGGTGACACTATTTAGAGAGTGACACGAACTCGAGAAATTTACTTTCAAAACACTGTCTTATGAAAAAGAACCGAATAATTGGGAAAGGGGTGAAGAGAAACCGAAAATGCAATAACTGTTAGAGGGAGGGTGGAGGGGGGGGCACACAGTTACCGCACCATCCCAGTGACGCCACCGTGTATAACAGTGACGCCACCGTGTATAACAGTGACGCTACCGTGTATAACAGTGACGCCACCGTCTATAACAGTGACGCCACCGTCTATAACAGTGACGCCACCGTCTATAACAGTGACACCACCGTGTATAACAGTGACGCCACCGTGTATAACAGTGACGCCACCGTGTATAACAGTGACGCCACCGTGTATAACAGTGACGCCACCGTGTATAACAGTGACGCCACCGTGTATAACAGTGACACCAGTTTGGTAGAAACGTTTATGACAAAACCGTAAGTTTTCTTAGACATCACATTGGGGCGAAAAGCTCTTAGAATATGCTGCTGTATGATATAAATTTATCAAAAGGTTTTTAAAGAAACTGAAAGTAAAGTGCCACTTCCGTTTGCCGGAAATTTCTAACAAGTGATAGAAACATGCATCTAGGATCTAATACAAATATTTGAAGTTGAGTCCACCAAACTGAAACCGTATTCAAGTTATTGTGTTCAAAATATGTTTTCATCATTTTAGAAAGAGGAAATACAGTAAAGCATCACTTCCGTATATCGGAAAAAACATAAATTTCTCTTCCGGGTATACTCTGTCAAGGAGAAACGAACAAATGGTCTCACCTTTCTCTTCCTTCTCCTCTACTTTGGTCTTCTCGCCCCCTTTGTTTTCCAAGTGTGAGACCTGCTCTTTGTGCACTACTACATTGTTCTGGTGCGATTCTTTGCCTGTGGATAAACAAATAATTTGGTGGAATTTTTTTTGGGTCTGTTTATCAAATATGCTTAGTGGAATACTTTTGTCGAGAAAGCTCGAATATTGCAAACAATTTCAAGTAATTTTGCTCGCAAACATCTAAGTTTGAGAATATTTTGCTTGGCCCATCTACTTGTTCTAATAATGTTGGTTGGATCATTTGCCTATTCGGTGATGGTATGGTCGAGTCGGTAAAGAGAAGTGTTGCCCTGTAGTTTGTTCTTGGTTGGACAAAGTCTACAGAAGCAAAACCAAAAAGAAAAGCAGGCTGAAATTGGAGTCAACGTCCTAAAATTGGCCAGTTGACACGTAGAGTTAATTGTGTTGGAGGAATCCCGACACTGTAAGTTTAGAACGAAGAAGAATCTGCCCGTTCTAATCATTTTGGTAGGATCGGGAAATATGTTGGGAAATATTCTTTGATGAACTGACATCTTTCATTAAGTTTTTCTTCTCTCTGAGTATTACATTACTGATGAAGTATCACATTAATGATGAAGTGTCATATTACTGATGTTTTTGTTTGCATCTTTCAACCTTACGTCTATCGAGAGACGGTATTGTTTTCTTGTGTTTTAAAGTGGTATTTTTTGCAGGTTTAAAGTGGTATTGTTTGCTTGTGTTTTAAAGTGGTATTTTTTGCAGGTTTAAAGTGGTATTGTTTGCTTGTGTTTTAAAATGGTTTTGTTTGCTGGTTTAAAATGGTATCGTTTGATAGTTTGAGGTGGTATCGTTTATAGTTGAAGGTGGTATCGTTTGATAGTTGAAGGTGGTATCGTTTGATAGTTGAAGGTACTATTGTTTGATAGTTGAAGTTGGTATCGTTTGATAGTTGAAGGTGGTATCGTTTGATACTTGAAGGTGGTATCGTTTGATACTTGAAGGTGGTATCGTTTGATAGTTGAAGGTGGTATCGTTTGATAGTTGAAGGTGGTATCGTTTGATAGTTGAAGGTGGTATCGTTTGATAGTTTACAGTCAACTGTTCCGCTACCTGTTTATGTTGTACTGTTTGCTCAGATTGATCACTAAAATAATTGACAAAATTATCTTTTCTCCAAAACTTTTCATGAGCTTTTTCTACTTGAGTCATTGATTTCCGATACTTTCCGATAGAAATATTTTCCTTGCGACTCATTGTAAAGAATGGAGGATGTGTCCACTTGTGTGGTACTTGTGTGATACTTGTGGGGGATGTGTCCACTTGTGTGGTACTTGTGGGGGATGTGTCCACTTGTGTGGTACTTGTGTGATACTTGTGGGGGATGTGTCCACTTGTGTGATACTTGTGGGGGATGTGTCCACTTGTGTGATACTTGTGGGGGATGTGTCCACTTGTGTGATACTTGTGGGGGATGTGTCCACTTGTGTGGTACTTGTGGGGGATATGTCCACTTGTGTGGTACTTGTGTGATACTTGTGGGGGATGTGTCCACTTGTGTGGTACTTGTGGGGGATGTGTCCACTTGTGTGATACTTGTGGGGGATGTGTCCACTTGTGTGGTACTTGTGGGGGATGTGTCCACTTGTGTGATACTTGTGGGGGATGTGTCCACTTGTGTGATACTTGTGGGGGATGTGTCCACTTGTGTGGTACTTGTGGGGGATGTGTCCACTTGTGTGGTACTTGTGGGGGATGTGTCCACTTGTGTGGTACTTGTGTGATACTTGTGGGGGATGTGTCCACTTGTGTGGTACTTGTGGGGGATGTGTCCACTTGTGTGGTACTTGTGGGGGATGTGTCCACTTGTGTGGTACTTGTGGGGGATGTGTCCACTTGTGTGGTACTTGTGGGGGATGTGTCCACTTGTGTGGTACTTGTGGGGGATGTGTCCACTTGTGTGGTACTTGTGTGATACTTGTGGGGGATGTGTCCACTTGTGTGGTACTTGTGGGGGATGTGTCCACTTGTGTGGTACTTGTGGGGGATGTGTCCACTTGTGTGGTACTTGTGGGGGATGTGTCCACTTGTGTGGTACTTGTGGGGGATGTGTCCACTTGTGTGGTACTTGTGTGATACTTGTGGGGGATGTGTCCACTTGTGTGGTACTTGTGGGGGATGTGTCCACTTGTGTGGTACTTGTGGGGGATGTGTCCACTTGTGTGGTACTTGTGGGGGATGTGTCCACTTGTGTGGTACTTGTGGGGGATGTGTCCACTTGTGTGATACTTGTGGGGGATGTGTCCACTTGTGTGGTACTTGTGGGGGATGTGTCCACTTGTGTGGTACTTGTGGGGGATGTGTCCACTTGTGTGGTACTTGTGGGGGATGTGTCCACTTGTGTGGTACTTGTGGGGGATGTGTCCACTTGTGTGGTACTTGTGGGGGATGTGTCCACTTGTGTGGTACTTGTGGGGGATGTGTCCACTTGTGTGGTACTTGTGGGGGATGTGTCCACTTGTGTGGTACTTGTGGGGGATGTGTCCACTTGTGTGGTACTTGTGGGGGATATGTCCACTTGTGTGGTACTTGTGTGATACTTGTGGGGGATGTGTCCACTTGTGTGGTACTTGTGGGGGATGTGTCCACTTGTGTGGTACTTGTGGGGGATGTGTCCACTTGTGTGGTACTTGTGGGGGATGTGTCCACTTGTGTGGTACTTGTGGGGGATGTGTCCACTTGTGTGGTACTTGTGGGGGATGTGTCCACTTGTGTGGTACTTGTGGGGGATGTGTCCACTTGTGTGATACTTGTGGGGGATGTGTCCACTTGTGTGGTACTTGTGGGGGATGTGTCCACTTGTGTGGTACTTGTGGGGGATGTGTCCACTTGTGTGGTACTTGTGGGGGATGTGTCCACTTGTGTGGTACTTGTGGGGGATGTGTCCACTTGTGTGGTACTTGTGGGGGATGTGTCCACTTGTGTGGTACTTGTGGGGGATGTGTCCACTTGTGTGGTACTTGTGGGGGATGTGTCCACTTGTGTGGTACTTGTGGGGGATGTGTCCACTTGTGTGGTACTTGTGGGGGATATGTCCACTTGTGTGGTACTTGTGTGATACTTGTGGGGGATGTGTCCACTTGTGTGGTACTTGTGGGGGATGTGTCCACTTGTGTGGTACTTGTGGGGGATGTGTCCACTTGTGTGGTACTTGTGGGGGATGTGTCCACTTGTGTGGTACTTGTGGGGGATGTGTCCACTTGTGTGGTACTTGTGGGGGATGTGTCCACTTGTGTGGTACTTGTGGGGGATGTGTCCACTTGTGTGGTACTTGTGGGGGATGTGTCGACTTGTGTGGTACTTGTGGGGGATGTGTCCACTTGTGTGGTACTTGTGGGGGATGTGTCCACTTGTGTGGTACTTGTGGGGGATGTGTCCACTTGTGTGGTACTTGTGGGGGATGTGTCCACTTGTGTGATACTTGTGGGGGATGTGTCCACTTGTGTGGTACTTGTGGGGGATGTGTCCACTTGTGTGGTACTTGTGGGGGATGTGTCCACTTGTGTGATACTTGTGGGGGATGTGTCCACTTGTGTGGTACTTGTGGGGGATGTGTCCACTTGTGTGGTACTTGTGGGGGATGTGTCCACTTGTGTGGTACTTGTGGGGGATGTGTCCACTTGTGTGGTACTTGTGGGGGATGTGTCCACTTGTGTGGTACTTGTGGGGGATGTGTCCACTTGTGTGGTACTTGTGGGGGATGTGTCCACTTGTGTGATACTTGTGGGGGATGTGTCCACTTGTGTGGTACTTGTGGAGATGTGTCCACTTGTGTGGTACTTGTGTTTAAACTCTCCTTACACATATTTCCTTCAAACCGGTGTCAAACGACATTCAATAAAAGACGGTGTCAAACGACATTCAATAAAAGACGGTGTAAAACGACATTCAATAAAAGACGGTGTAAAACGACATTCAATAATAGATGGTGTAAAACGACATTCAATAATAGATGGTGTAAACAAAATCCAAAAGCATGCAAACAAAAATCTGGAATAAAAATCTCCTCTACAACTCTTCCATCATCAATGAGTGCTAAAGCTGACCAGGAAAGTAAAAAAAATAAGGCGAGACCGGCCAAATAAATATTTACATAACAAAAGAAAGAAAACAAATCAAGATTAAAAATATTGGTTGTCGGAATTGTGATATAAAAGGAAATTTCTATTTATAGAAGGATTGAAAAAAAGAACCTCTGAATGACGTAGGCTGTGACGTCAGCTATTGTATCAATTGATCTAAATACCATGGTTTCATTGATTTTCTTCCCCCGATTTGCCAAGCTTCCTTCAGCCAGACTGTGTTTAGATATTTTTTTACTAGTTAGGAACAGGCAATGACCTTCGTTGAATATTTCTTTGAGGTGAAAGCGGATCCGTTGATGCGATTGATTGCTTTAATGATTTATAGAATAATAATGTACTCTTTGGAGCTGTTTGAATACTCTACTTCACCCAACGCAGGCTAAACAAATAACAATAATGCAGACCAGTGACGTATCCGGCGGGTTGTGGGATGGGGGGTAGCCAATACATACGTATAAACATACATGCATACTTACATGTTTATATATATCACATACATATATATATATATATATATATATATATATATATATATATATATATATATATATATATATATATATATATATATATATATATATATATATATATATATATATATATATATATATATATATATATATGCACGCCTCCACTCTCTCTCATTACAAAAGTCCTGATAGCACTTGACCGTCTTAAACTCTAGTTAGCATAGACTAACTAACCGAAGTCTTCTAAACGTAAGCCACCTCATTCTACTAAAGGTAGACAAAATAACTCTAGTAAACGTAGGCCAACTAACGCTAATGAAGCATTCCCTAGATCTTCAATAAATAGGATCTGACCAAAAAACATTAAGCTTAACCCAGAAGAAGCGGCGGGCGTTATTTGTGTTGGGTGCCGGTTGGTTCATCAAGTCACATGATGTCCAGATGCTGGCCTGCTGAATGTCGCCATGTCGTTTGGTC